TCCACTACAGAAACACTAGCTAACTGATAAAGGCTGATCAGGTTGTCTGATGGTATTAGATTGATTAATGCTTTAATAATGGGAGTATTGATTACTGATCAGGATCATTATCAGCTAACAGCAGTCTGATGTAAATGGTTTCGCTTTGTGTGCCTGTTTTTAAACTACCTTCCTAATTATGCTTGTTATTAATGATTTAAATGAATTGTTTAAGGTTAATTGTGTTGGTGCTGAAACCCTGAGAGCCCACACACACACACACATTTTTCCCTGACACAAAGATAAGTGTGTTTAGGGTCACTGCGGCTGTCGACATAAATACTCGCCGGCATTAACGATTATGAGCCAACAGTGTTCATGTTTAGTTTGAGGCTGAGCGGAGGCTCTACTCAATGAAACGCTTATTGAAGTGTTACAAAACACAAAAGCTGCTGCGAGAACTGAGTCACTGCAGCTTTGACGCTGATCCCTGAGCGCTGTGAGTCAAAGTCTGTGCTACAGACACAGCGATACTCCAACGGACCCGGCAGCTCTTCCACTCTTTCTTTTCCAGGTCTCCAGGAGGTTTTGACTATACAGGACAGGATTTATTCACATAATCGTAATATCAACACATTTAACTTGTTTTATTTGTTGTTTATATTCATGTCTCAGGTTCATTACTCACTCACACTAATAAATTGAATTGAATTAATTGACCCTTACTAATCCCCGCCCCCATTGCTCTGTGCTCCAATCACAATTGAGCAAGCCTCAGTCAATCAATAGAGACATCCCACTGGCTTCTTACCGAGGGAACCAGGACGAGTTCAGGGACAAACCACAGAAATATGTCATCGTGAATCAGTCCATACTGTCCATTAATGAAAGCTTACAACTTCTTTATAGTGTGTTATAAACCATTTATTCAATCTTCATATAGAGCTAATAAATGCTGAAGAGGTGCTAACAATCGATCATCTCGTTTCTTTTTCCTTTAATGACACTGAACACAAACATTACACGTGTGAAGATTTAAATGTTCAAATGCTTCAATCTCTTCTTCCCATCCAGAGTCCCAGACAGCCGTGACGCCCCGACAGACACAAATAGTTGTGATCGGCTGCCGCTGTCGGCTCTCAAAGCTTCTCCTCCAGCCAATAAGGTTAAATCCTCCTCCAGGCTCAGCTCAGCGATACATAAAGGGTCAGTTCACCCAAATCACAATGACACTTTCTGATAGTTTGAACTGAATCAGGCAGTAAACAACAGGTTGCTGTAATTTTACTGTTTTAAGCTTTTTAATTTTGCTTTTCCCTGATTCCTAATCGCTATGACAGTAAACAGGACTATTAAAGTCGTTCTCATTGGCTCTGGACTTTCTGACAATTATTAGACCAAAACAATCATCAATTAATCAGGAGAATAATCAGATGAATCTGCAGCAGTAATGTTTATTTGTTTGTGATTTTGGAGAATTGACGAGTTAAAAGATTCCTCTGGTGTTTGTTAAAGTCTCATGTTTCACATTTTATTCTTGAAACTTTATTTTCTTCATTTTAAGTCACAGCACAAAGCAGAATAACTTGTTCATCAGTGCTTCTGACTTATTTATGGGATAAACTGTGGAGTGAAAATGTACAGAAATAATCTTTCAAAGAAAAAAAAAAAAAACAACCTTACAGGACTTCTCAGCGTGAACAAACAAACTTATTCTATAACGTCTTACTCACAAATAAAAGGAGTTTCTGGTTGTGAAAAGTAAAGAGGCCGTAAACGTCTACAGAGAACACAGAAGCCGAAGAATCACCTTTCACCTACACCAGAGGAACCTTTCAAAATAAAACCACAGTCCACAGATTAGAGTTCAGTTTTGTGGCCTGTAAACGAGGACGTGGACTCGTGAGAGGTGGGTTCAGAGTTTCTGAAGACCAGAAGGAATGATGACAAACCGACGGAGAGACGTCCTCTTACTTCCTCAACAAACTGAAAGAAACAGAGATTTTATATTAATACAAAGCATCAGCTTCTAAACATAAATAAGATATGTTTAGCCTAGCTTAGCATAAAGACTGGAAGCAAAGGGAAACTGTATCCTGTGCTCAGATATGCTACATGCTAGCTAATATGAGATAAGCTAATCTACAGCAATTGTTTTTTAGTTAGCTTCTTAGTGGTTTGCTCTGTAGCAATACGCTAGATAATTAGCTAGCTAATCTACGTCATTAATCACTGAGCTACTGACATCTGATGGTTAATGTTAATCAATTGTTTGCTGGTTAGTTAGCTGATGTTTTATTCTGTAGTAACACCAGCTAGCCATCTAAACTACATCCATTAGCTAATGTTAACAAAACGCTAACAAATGATTGATGTAGCATTAGATTAGCTTGCTTGTTAGCAATTGTTCCGCTTAACTTAGCTATCAGATGTAACTAACAATTTATGTAAATTAGCTAGTTACTCTAAAACTCCCATCTTACGATTAAAAAACACTGAAACTAAATTAAACATTTTTAAATAAAATAAAAACTAAACTGAATTCAAAACAAATTAAAACCAAATAAAAATAAATACAACTAAAGAAAAATACAAACCTATAACAACAACAACAACAACAACAACAACAACAACAACAACAACAATAAGGTACCAACATAAAAACATACAGGGGACGTCATTGCTGTAGATACAGGGCAGACGTCATATAAAGACTCATCCTAATGGTCATGAGTGAGAGGTTTAAAGGTCAAACCCAGTCGGGACTCACTTGTAGCTGTCTCTGTCCTGCAGGTTGAGCACCAGGCTGTCAGCGTTCAGGTACACTTTGTTTTGAGACTGCGCCACCTGCAGGTCAAACAAACAAACAGCGAGTGAGAGAAAACACAGGTGGAAAGTTTCTCAGCGTTCAGGCCCGACCGAGCTGCTGCTGCTGAGCACAATGGGAACATTGTCAGAGCTTCAACACTGAGCTGATTCACAGCACGGCGAGCTGCTGAGGCCCGTTCACCGTTCCACACAGGAAACGCACGCCACCGCCACAGCGCCCCGAACACATGACGTGACTGTAGGTCACACTGTGAGGTAGAGCCGTTACAGAGCGGCCTAATGACTCATTTCATCATCAACAGTCACGTGTCTCGTTAAAGACGTGCAGAGAGTGGCTGCACACATCAGAGTTCAATATAAAACTTTATTAACAAGCTTAAAAATAGAGCTGAGGCCCAAACAGGAAGCAGAGAGCCGTTCGCTTCCTCATATTTATGTATTTACTATAAAAACAGTTGGGGAAGCAGCAGCCACTCGCTGTGTGTTTAGTCCTCACTGCTATTCAGCTAGCGCTATAAACTAGTGTCAGCATCTACCTTCCAGTGAACACCGTCGAACACTTAAACTGTATTTTGACTCTGTGGGGTCACGAGTGAAAACCTAAAACTTTGACTCTTGTTAAGATACAAAAAGTTCCCTTAATGGAGGACTTCCTGCTCGGTGCTTGCCGTGGTTGCAGGTTTATATTATACACTTAAACAAAAAACAGTTTATTTTATTATTTCTTTCATTAAATATTGTCGAGGCGTGAAAACATATATCCAGATAAAACCTTCCACAATAAACTAAATAAATACTGTAAGTTAAACCTCAGTTCATCATATTAATAAATGGTTTATAAACACATTAATTATAACTTTATAATGTAGTTATAAGATACAACAGCACATTTTGCTCATGTACAAACAGTTAATGAATACCTGATGAAACAGTTGTAATAACCTTTAATGTTTTCAACCCACAGTGACTGACGTTAATGAATCCTTAATAAATGCTAACAGTGTACTTATTCAAGAGCTATCAAACGCTCTATTGTTAACAACTACAATGAATATTAAACATGTGGCACAGAGGCGGTCTGTCATTAACGTAGTGACGACAGCGTTGGACACATTCTTTAACTTTAAGTCCATATTGTGAGCGGCCGACTCAGGACAAAATATCAGAACAGCTTAAACTCCAATTCTCAAAGAAAACGACTGATTAGGACAAAAAGTGCTGTAGAGGAAAGATTCAGATTCATCAGGTACAAAACATTATTATGTTGTAAATAAAGTTTTTTATCCTCCTGATTAAATATTCTGTTGTGTTATAAATTCCATTAGAACTAGAAATCAGTAAAAAAAAATAAATGTACACAAATATAAACTGTAGTGAACAAAAGAGGTTAAATGTTTGTTTCCATCATCTTTCCTGACTTCTCCATCAAACTCATGTTCAGCTGGCGCCACCTAGTGGACTCACCGAGCTGCTTCACTCTCAATTAAACTGATTTAGGAAGGTTGTGACATTAAATCTGTGTATTTTATTATTGGAGATGTGATCACAAATACAGTATATATATCTGTCATATTATTGTTATTGTTCTGTCAGATCAATATCTGGGTCGTTCTCCCGTTAAGGAACCGACTATATGAGACTGAGAGACCTAATATGGATGAATTGTGAGCAGATTATTATTTATTGTTAGAGATTTTCCTGATGATAAGTGATCCATATCTCTGTCTGTATTGACTGTATTTTTTTATCATTTTAAACAATCAGTACTTAATATTCTTCTTTTCTGACAGATTCACTGTTTATTCTCATTGTTCTATCAGCTGATTGCTTTCTGATGCAGGACGAGGCTGTTGATCAGAGACTGAAGCTCTGTCACTGTACACTCTGATCAATAATATAATAATAATAATAATAATAATAATATACACTGGGATGATCTTAAATAATAATGTATTCACAGATATGAGCTGGACGCTGAGCTGTAAGCCGACACTTACCCTCCTCAGCGTGTGAACGAACAGCAGTGTTATTAAGGCCGAGGACAGATTAATAACTTAATCCTATTTAAAGAGAGGTTAGCGCGTCTTAAAACAACATTCAGGAGCTCGCTAAACACAAACTGGTTTTTCTGGCTGTAATGACTCAAAGACTCGCCACGCTTTCAGTGTAATCGAACCTCGTTTGGTTTTATTACCTGGAATTAAATTTTAAAGTCTGGTTAACACTGATTTCTCCTACCGACAGCCGAGTCAAACTAAATGTTCACGTCTGTGCTCTGAGGAGGTTTAATGATCAACAGAGCAGAGTTCCTCCTTGAGGATAATAAATCTTGTGTCCTGGACGCCCTGAGGTCCAGACTGTTTCAGATGGATGTGGTCTATCAGAACCAGGTCGTCACTCTGGTGCAGCGAGGACCTTTCAGGGAGGCGTTTCTTACCGTCTTGGCGATGGCCTGCGCCGCCCGGATCTTCCTGAGCTTCAGGTATCCTGGGTTCTTCGTCACGGCCTCGCCCAGCTGACACACAAACAAACAAACACACATTTAAACTGTTATTCACAGGAGAATACTGTTACACGCCTAACAAAGGGGAGAGGTAGCGTCCAACCCGAGGCTGATCTGCAGCAGGCTGAGCCGGTCTCTCCGAGCGGCTCGCCACGAGGAGCTGCAGGCGTGTCGCTGCACGGCTGAGATATTCTCACGCGTGTCGACAGGCAGGAAAAACAATGACTGCATATTTGGATGAAGTGTTTAAGTGATGCGTTTATCGGAGCCGAGGATCTGCAGGTGGGTTTCAGGTTAATTACGTTGTTATAACGACCAGGAATCTGTTAACTGCACAGTCAGCGTTAAATGTCACATTTAAACACAACAACAGTAACAACGAGCAGGCGGCTCTCGCTGGAACGTGTAACCTTTGATACGGTTTCAAAGTGTTTGTTTTAGGGGCGGATCCATCCCATAATACAAACAGATACTGTGTCTCTGTGCAGTTTGTTTGTCTGTTTGGTTTCCTGTAAAAACATCAATGCAGTCGGACCCGGGACCGAACACACTCTCCAGGACCGACAGGGACTACAGCAGCGAGGAGGTTCTCGTGCCGGGTTTGGATCCTGGCAGTTAACCAGCGAGTCACCGAGCTCACAGCAGCTGCTGATCAGTCTGTCCATCAGAAACTCTGTAACGGACCTCGGTGCTGTAACGTTATTCACTGTCGGTCTCTGAGGCTGCGTTCGATCCCGGTCCGGCTGCTGAGCCCGGTTCTGTCGCCTGCTGACGGCAGATACAGTTAGCAGCAGTTAATTAGCAGTTAGCTGCTTTATATCTGTGAATCTCAGAGAGTTGAAGATGAGCAGGTTCAAGTTTTGTAGCATTAAGTAGATTGGTCTGTGCGACCTCAGAACTCGCCGGCGTCTAGAAGAGAGAAGGTTTGGCAGCATTAGTAAACGCCCCCGAGTGCAGGATCAGTCATCAGATACTTTTATAGATTAACAGGAAACTGTAAAACACCTTTAAGAACACCTGAAGATTGTATATTATATATTATATGAGACAGAAACTCTTCTGGTTCTGGATTAAAGTCTGAACTCACCATCTTGGCAGCTTCAGCTTCTCCTTCAGCCTGGATGATCTTCTGTCTCTGGTCCTGTTTGGCCTTTTCTACATAAAACTGAGCTCGCTGCGCCTCCTGCTGGGCTGGAGAGGAACACACAGTCACTGGATGCTTAAAGACACTAATGATCAGCAGACTGCTCTCACTGCTTTCATTCTATAAACATTTCTCACTAATTAAATTCATGTCATTTTACATTTATTTGCTAAGTTAAGTTCAAAAGTTTGGTGGAATAACTTTTATTTTAATGCTTCCTGGCTTCTTTCACATCACATGTTGTCACTTTATGTCACTGGTTCCCAAACAAGGACCATTTTCTATCATTAATAAACTGACTAATAATATGATATTTCATATTATATTAAAACTGGTCAATGAACTCAAACAGTGAACTCTGAAGTTTGTGTAAAACCAGAGATTTGGATGAATTGTGAGCAGATTATTTCCAGTTTAGGGAACTTTTTATACAATTCTGTTCTATTAGTCTTAATTAACTATTTATTTTACATTTACTCTCCTAAACAGAAGTGAACCTTTAGCCTTTACAGGACAGTTAATAGGAAAGGCTGCAACCCTTCCTGGACCAATCATTAATTACAGCCTCATATTAATATACATCTGATATCCATTACTGAGCGAGCAGTGGCAGACGTTGAACGTATTTACATTAACCACATAAACATGTAACTTTAATTAAAGGGTCATAAACGTACCTACGGGTTAAATTAAAGGTCAAATTAAAGCCATTTGTCCATTACAGCTGACAGTGACAGCTGTTGTCATGGATACAGGCAGAGAGATCACTTCCTGCGTCTACTCACCGACTTGTTTGGCCTCGACGGCGGCGGTGTACTCGCGACTGAAGCTGAGCTCTGTGATGGCCACGTCGTCCAGGATGATGTTGAAGTCTTTGGCCCGTTCGAACAGCTCTCTGCGGATCAGCAGGGAGACCTGGGGGGGGGCACCGAGTGACTCATCTATAAATGTTTCTGATATTCTCAGTTTAATGTTTTCCACCTCTAACGCAGTAATAAACTCCGCACTGACTCAGTGTGAGCAGAGCTGTGCGTGTACCTGCGCTCTCTGCGTGATCAGCTGTGAAGCGTTGAACTTCGCCACCACGCTCTTCAGCACCTCGTTGACGATGGACGGCAGCACGCGCTCGTCGTAGTCTTGTCCCAGGTGCTGGTAGAGGACGGGCAGGTTGGACGCCAGCGGCCGCGACAGGACTCGCAGTGCGATGTTCACCATCTGAAGGTCTGAGAGAGAGAGACACAGAGACAGATACAGAGACAGAGACAGAGAGAGAGACAGAGACAGAGACAGATACAGAGACAGAGAGAGACACAGCTGCTGTTAATTCCAGGAATTTTCATCCAGGATGATCAATGCTGGATTCTGGAGGTTCATATCAACGAGAAAGTGTTCTGAAATAATCCTAACATTTCTGACTGACTGTTTAAAGAAGTCTCAGTATGATATGGGACAGTGAAGAGCAGCTGGTGGGCGCCCTCTGGTGGACAAACGCCATAATGGACAAACTACAGTAACACGACTCATACATAAGAGTTCAACTCGAGGAGGATTGGTTTTATTCTACAGAATTAAGTAGAAAGTGTAACATTTGGAAAATGGCACAAACTTAATATCCGTCTGGAAATATATAAAGTAAAACTGGAGCGCTGTCACAATCTCTCTTTTACATTTTGTTTTAGGGAACAGATCAGAGAACAGACAGCAAGGGAGTCACTAAAATCATATTCCCTATGTTTCCCCTGTAAACAGACTGATCCGCAGCCTCCAGTTTCCTTTGAGAGTTTCTGTTTCACATTGGTGAGTCTGACCTTTGCTTCCAGTGAGGGACGAGATCTTTCTGGGTCGGGCTCTGATGTCGTAGATGATGGGATACTGGAACCAGGGTATCCTGAGGACGACGGCACACAGACAGACACACCAGACTCAACCAGCAGTTTACAGGAAGTCAAATGGAAAACAATCAATTCTGAATCTGTTATCTTCATGTTTCTGTGACTGCAATGAGCAAATAAACAGAAATAAGTTGGAGAAAAGAATCCAACTAACGGAGGTTGTTCATAGGAAGCCATGTCTGTCTCTTTCTAAAGGAAACCCTGACAAAAGGCAAAAAAAGACTCTATAGAAACTACGATTTAGAGATAAATCATCTGCAACCTCTTTAAAAGTAATCAAACAAACAGATAAACTGGCTTTAAAGTAGGGCTGAACGACTTGGGAAAATAATCTAATTGCAATTTTTTCCCCCAAATATTGCAATTGCGATTTAATATTTTATCCTCTTTTTTCCCAACTAAACATAATGAATGATTTAAATATGACCAACACAATATTAGATACATTTAATGTAAAAAGTTATTTCCCATAGGCCTATTTGTTAGAATTGAATTAAAAGATGTATGACTTGAAATAAACTATGAACTCGGTTATTGCCCGAGTGATTTCCCCGTGCCGTTTTGAATTACGTTCATATGGAGTGACACTTTCAAACATTTCGGTCAGTGATCCCTGT